TGGACATGTGCTGTTTGGAAAATGATACTATGTGGAGAGGTTCTCCTTTGGTCATGGGTATTTGTTGTTGTACATGCCATACTTAACTGTACATTTATTTTTTACCTACATTTAGGAAATTGTCTCCTATTATTTTTGTATCATTTTTTCTTCCATTTGTAGTATCTTCTGATTTTTCATGCTTGTATTATTTTGTGTTTGGTCTTTTTTGGTTCATCCAGCGGTTATTGCATCCACTTTCCATGTTTTCTTGGGGCTTTAAATGTGTCTTTGAGTTCTTTTTCATGGAGAGCATCCCGATCTTCTAATGCTGAAATTCTGTCCTCACATTCGTTGCTTCTCTTGCCCACAGTTTCTCTTCAATTTTTAATCTCTCACGTGATGATTATCATTTCCCGGACTCTACTATTTAGCAGAACTTTCATGCGTGCTTTCTACTGTTTATCTGAAGTACCTCTTCATTGTTGTGTTCTGAAAGTTCCTTGATAATTTCAGTTGTTACTTCCACTATCGATTCAGTTATATCTTCTGAGATTATGCCTAGCACTTACTAGATTTATTTTCTGACCTCTTCTCTTATGTTTACAAGTAATTTTGGTATGTTTTTTTATACTATTCTCCCTCTCAATCCTCCTCGGATTGGCTTTGGCTCAGTTGGGCGTTTTGGCTGTCATTTTGTTGACTTGCCTTCTAGTGTTTCTGTTGCTTTTTTGTTTGTTTTGTTCTGTGCTGAAGTTGGTGGCACTTACAGATAAATGACTTTGCTGTTAGCATAGAGATCTGTATAGTTAGTCTCTTTGCAGTGATATAATTTGTGCAAGGCTGACTATAGTCCTTTCACTAACTCCTAAAATCCAACCACTTCTCTATTTGGAAGGGACATATGGAGAGTTCTTGACCCAGCACCAAGTTCCCAACACATTGTGAAGTATAACTGATGTCCAAAGCATTTGTCTAGGTTTGGCATACAAAGAAAACCCATTAATGGCAACATTTATGGGACCATGGCAATTTCAAGTGAAGCACTTATTGTGATACTTCCTGATACAAATTGCACATTAACATACCATAGAAACCAGCTAGGTATCATTCATAAGCAGGAAAAAAAAATTAATCCACTACTGTAGTATAAACACTATGAAAAACCGGATCTTGGCACATAGCTAATATGTACTAAATGTGGGGGTTGTGGTTCTGCTACTGATAGAAAGAATTTCAAAGAAGTTTCATAGAGTTAACTATCGAAATATTATTAAAGCTTAATGTTTGTATAATTAAAGATATATCTCGTTGCAGAAGGGGGAATAACAGAAGAAGAAGTTTAAAAATTAAGCATGAGCATATGAGCAACAGGAAAATACTATGGCACAAATGATCCAAACAGTGACTAGAGGATGTCTATTAAATTAGTAAAGGCAAGAGAAACAAGCAATGAAGAGAACTGTAAGTTAGCAGACTTAAAGGGAGAAAATACTAGAAATTATGTGGATAATAAAATTTTAAAATATGTGAAAGGAAACATTTACTGGAAAGAAATTGAAATGAGAAAACGAAGAAAGAGGAAGAAAAACAAAATATTTTTTGGTGATGCTCAATGAACAGTTTCCTATCTGGATGTGGAATTTTGGACTCTCACAGTTCTCAATTTTCTGAGGCTCACTATGGTTTTCCCAAACTGTGCTGCATTTACGTCCTGATGTGCTGCTGCTCACACCGGTAGATAAGAAAGGCAGTGAGATCCTAGATGCGTGCTAGAAGCAGGCAGAAGGGCAAGGGCTGGAATAGCCAAGGCTGAGACTTTCAAGTCCAGATCAACTCAGGCTGGGGTGGCCTTGGGCTGCATGTGGCCGGGCTGTGTCTTCCAACTCCTATCCAACTCCTCAGGGGTCTTTTTCCAGTCTGCATCCCATCGGAAGCTGTTCCCTGTTGCTATCACTCACACAGTCACTGTGAGCAGATAGCACTGAAGTGAAGCCATCCCAGTTCCGAGTCCCAGGCTCAAACAATCAAGCCTTTGCTCCACTGACTACCATGCTCATACTCTCTCTAGGACTACGGCAGCATCTGTATTCAGGAGAATGACCCCCTTTACTTGTCCAGCTCAACTCTACACTTTCCCTGCAGATGTCAGCAACCTCCTGTGCACGAATCTAGTGCTTCTCCCTAGGACCTTCTGCAGCCTGCGGGTTTCTCTTTGCTTCTACAAATTCAATCTCCTTTTTGTTTGTTTGTTTGTTTGTTTTTTTCTGGTACCGGGAATTGAACTCATGACCTCGTGCTTGCCAGGCAGGTGCTGTGCCCCTGAGCTAAATCCCCAGCCCCTCAATCTGCTTTTACTATGAGCCAGAAAACAGGAAGAACATCCAGACTGTTGTGTACACCCTACACATTATAGTCTTTCTCCTCATCGTCAGTGTACGTTTTCATTTTCTTATCACTTCTGTCCTGATTCCCTGGCACCTTCTCTCAATTTCTCTTTTATATTCCTGGCTCAGGTTGTTATTTTTCAGATCTCAATTCTGAATCTGTGGGAGACTGAGTTGCTGCTGCTCCCGACTTCTTCATTTTCCAGCACAGAACACCTGAAGGTAACCCACATTGCTTTAAAGAAGTTTCATCCACAAATCTGGATTCCCAGTTTTTTCTCTGCATTTTTCACTCTGGTATTCCAGAGAGTGGCTTTATGTGGGTTTCTGTTATTTATGATGACACTTGTGGATAGGAAGACTCAGGATGATGAGCACCTTAGTCCAAGAGGTGACACAGGTCACCAAACAGAGCTTCATACAGTCAGCAGCAGTAGGACTCCAAGACCTGGCCAGTCCAAGCTGTGCACACTTCCTGAGGATGATGGGGGTCCTCTGTCCAGAAATTCTACACCCCATAGAGTGTGCCTATTCCTGTGGTCAGTTGTGGGTGGACCTAGTTGTGTGCAAACTTCTGCCACAGGCAGGAAGGGAGTCATCCGGGAGATGAAGTCATGGTCTCCAAGGGAGAGATCAGCTCATCTCAGGTGGGATGGAGTTGAAGGAGGGCAGGCAGCAACAGGAAGATAATTGAGAAACTTCAGAAGCCCATAGGGGATGCCTTACTTATGCTCTCATTGCTGAAACACAATACTTGACATCTACAGTTTATTGGAAGAAAAGTTGACTTGGGCTCACAATTTATAGGGTTTTCACTAGACAGTCAGCCAGCTACAAGGCAGAATAGTAGAGTGGAAGGGCCTGGCAAGAGGCAACCTGCTCAGCACAAGTCCTTCAAGAAGCAGCAGTGAAAGGAAGACGAGGTCGGGAGATAGAAACTTCCCTGTCACACCCAGTGAGCTTCCTTTTCTTAGCAGTGGTCAATACCTGAAAGCAAGGGAGCGTTAAGCCACATACTGCAGAAACCTTGCAAAGGTCCTCCCTACGTGCCCATGTGTCTCTCAGAGGAGATCTAGACCATAACCAGGGTCCCACTGAGATGTGCACAGGTCTCCCTGTCAGCACTGATAGCCCCATGTGGGGATGACAGCATGGCCCTATGCTCACTTATCTGAAATTCCTCAGAATCTCATGGAGGTGACAATCTAGCTCTGAGACTGTGTACAGGTCGTCAGGGACCTCCATCTTGTCAGGAGACACATAGGTGTCCTAGGATCCCTGAGAGTCAACAGGAGGACACTAAGGAAAGATTTACCATCCTCAGACTTGAACTCAGAGAAGTGGGAAAAATCTGCTCCACTGATTTGACCTTGCTTCTTTGGTCATCCTGTCAAAACTGGTCAGGGCTGTCGGGTGGAGGCTGCCCTCTTAATTCTGCACCTTTGATCTTAGGAAGCTGAAGGCCTTGGTGGAGGGAGGTGGGGCAAGAAGAGCATAAAGAGGATCCTGACCCCTGTCAGGAGTCTAGATTTGGGCAAAGTGAAGCCCCTCAGATCAACATAAAGCACATAGCGGGCCTGGGGATTTAGCTCAGCGGCAAAGCGCCTGCCTGGCAAGTGCAAGGTCGTGAGTTCGGTTCCCGGTACCGGAGAAAAACCAAAAAAAAAAAAAAAAAAAAACCAAAAACCATAAAGCACATAGCCTCAACATGTCCCTTTGTGCCCTGTCCTCAGACCCTGGAAACAGTTGGAGTGGACCCCCCCCCACTCCCTCTTGCAATGCCTCAGAGAGATAGGCCTGTGATTTCGATAAGGGTGCCTGAGCATCCTGGGGGGAGTTCCAGAATTGACTATCAATTTGAGGAAGGGGTAAGTTCCCTTTCCCAAGGCACAAGGAGTCCGTGGGCTTGGTCCACCTCCACCTGTTACCTCCAGGCGGCTGTGTCCAGATGTCTGTCCTGTCACAGACTTTTGTTCCCTCTCAGGCGGAGACACTTTTTCTGAGAGTTTGCTTCAGGCAAGCAGAGGGCTGGAAACCAGGCCCTGCTTAAGGACAGTTGAGCACCTGCGTGAGCAGAGTTAACCATCAACAGGAAAATGGGAACTCACAAGTCACGTCCACTCCTCCTATGAGCTCTGGGGGAGCAAGACTGTGTTTGAGGTCTGCAGGCTCACGCCCCCCCCCCCCGCCTCTTACAGGAGCTCCAAGAAACAGGTGGAAAGGTCTTGTGAAGCAGTGTCCACAGCTCACCCAGCAGAGACCCAGGCAGCGTCAGGTGTCAAGGTGAGGTGCATGCCCTGATGGGTTCCTAGGGTTCCACCTGTCCCAGAGCAGAACACCTCATAGTGCCCAGGCTGCATATGCGTTATCTCATCCCTAGAGCCTTGTCCTCTGCAGTGCAACTGCAGCCTGAGAAGCAGCCTCACGTCATGGTCCAGGTTCATACTGACAGGCCCTCAGGCTGACAGGAGCCTCTGAAACCCTAGAGCACCTCCCAAGAGAAGACCTATAATGAGCTTTTGGGGGAGGAAAGAAGTGTGTTATGCTCAGCTGAGAACAATGATAATCTACCTCTCTCCTCCAGACATCTGAGTCTTCAACATCAAGCTCTTGCTGTCCACTCACAACACCAAGATGCCTCGTGGCCAAGGGAGCCGAGACAGAAAGCTCAGGAGAGGCCGTCCTGCTCAAAGCCGTACGCAGGTCCCATTGGGTGTGCAGGTCCTCAAGGATGAGGAGAAGGAAGCAGCAGCCAGCGCTTCTTCTTCATCACCTTCCTCCTATGCTTCAGTGGAGGCCACAGCAAGAGAAGAGCCTGGGTCTGGGACACCAAGTTGTCCTCAGGATACTCAGCGAACCTTTTCTCCCCGCACTGCCTTGAATCCCACTCCAAGAAGCCAATGCACTGAGGGCTCCAGCAGGCAAGGAGAGGAGGGTGTGAGCTCTTCCCAGGGGAAGGATGCCTCTCAGGTCATGCAGGATGAACTCCTAAGTGACAAGCTAGATAAATTGCTGTCCTTCCTGCTCCACAAGTATCAAAAGAAGGAGCAGGTCACCGTGGAAGAAATGCTGCACATTGTGGACCAGGATTACCATGCGTACTGCCCTCTGATCTTTAGGCTTCTCTGTGCGTGCATGTTTGTGAATTTTGGCATTGAGATGAGGGAAGTGGATTCTGCAGGCCACACATATGAGCTTGTGCCCATCTTGGGCCTCACCTATAGTGGGATACTAGATAACGAGGTCCAGATCTCCCCCAAAGCAGAACTCCTGATACTCATCCTGAGTACAATCATTGTAAAGGGCAACCGACTCAGTGAGGGGGATCTAAGGGACCTACTGAGAAGTAGGCAGGCATTAGCTGAGAGGCAGCATGATGTCGGGGATCCCTGGAAATTCATCACAGAGGATTTGGTTCGGGAAGGGTACCTGGTGTACCAGCAGGTTCCTAACAGTGATCCTGCTCGCTGTGAGTTCCTGTGGGGTCCGAGGGCCCAGGCTGAAACCACTGAGATGAAAGTCCTGAGGCACATGTTTCGCCTTGATGGGATAGATCTCAGGTCTCACCCACAGGTACACAACCCAGCTCTGAGAAAGGAAAATGGTAATTTGAGGCCCCATAATGGGCAGGATGAGTGACATGCACAGCGAGTGTTCCACAGCCACGTCACTGCTTAGGTTCCACCCCACGTGATATGAGGCTCAATCTCCAAAATGTTTCTGGAGAAGGGACAGTGTTCTAAGTAGTGAAGGAGAAAGGAGGGAGTAAATACGGTGCATGCCATCTTGATGTTTGTTCTGTTTGGACTACAACTTAATGGATATGTGATTTTTTCATGACCTTTTGAAGTGTTGCTTTTTTGAGAGATTTAAGTACCTTGCAAATCTTTTTTGAAGAATGATCCTGACTGCACATGTATTTTCAATTTTTGTATTGATGTTTAATTGTGATTTCTGATGTGAATATGATTTTGTGATTTTTTTCACAGTTGTATTTTGTTTCTCTGCTACAAATGTAAGTACCTTTCCTGCCTTCTCAGGCAAACAAGGGAGCCATGCATTTTATTTCTGGTAACTTAGGATTGGAACAGGTATTTCCTTGGAAATGTGTAGGTTTCCATGAAGTTAAACGAAGCCTAGAAATAGACATAAGAATAAAAAATATATATATATATCCTTGAATTTGTTTGGTTTATTCAACTATACTAGGGAAATTTACTGTCAATAAATGAGCCCATCTCCTCACAGATCCTTGGACTCCAATCCTTTATTGCACTTGTGCCCTTTATAATGCCCTGTGTCTGTGGTGGAGACATGAGCACACTACACTAAGCAGGATCAAAGTGACCCCATACAATGATAGAGTCTGGGAGTACCACCAGTGTCAGGAGACAGACAGATGTCCTCAAGGAAGTTACCAGGAGGATAGCAGAGCCCTGAGTGGGTGGAATCTATCAGAGAGCATCCATGGGTGAGCACAGAGCTGGGACAGTTTAGGGTTCGGGTTCCTGCAATTGATTCTGCAGGAGTTGATTTTAATGTAGCTCCATGCTAGCCATGACCAGGCCCTCAGATGTGCTTTGTGTCTTAGAGAAAAGCCTGAGAGGGTGGAAGACTGCTCTTAGCACGCTTTTATATGGTGGGTGATGACAAGAGAAATCCTCATCTGGAACAGAGATGAGAAGAGTGTTCCTACACAGAGTAAGAACAAGGAGACTTATGTCCGCATCTGCAGGGATTTCCTGAGAGATAAAAGTGACTGCAGGTAAACTAAGGCCACAAATTCCTTGACCACGTGCTCTGCTCTCTGCTGGAAATGTCCATTTTCCAGGATCTTGCGGTGCCCAGTTGCCTGCTTTTCTGGGGACACCTTCTCCTCGTGAGTCCACTGTGCCTCAAACACTCTAACGAAGTGGACATGGGGATCTGTACAGTGATGATGATGTGTTACACACGTGGTCAGATGAATGGCTGACCAAGAATTTCTCCCTGTGGAGAAATTCTCATTGTTCACAGGTATCTTACCCATCTTCCTCCAATACTGCATCTGAGAGAGTTTTCAATTATTTTCTTTGTCAAGAAAATTCATGCTAGTAATATTGGGATATGTAATTTCCCTCGAAGTGTCTTTGACCTGAATCTGTACTGAGCTGGCCTTGTCACTAGAATGGCCAGAGTTCTAGGCCTCATTGTCATAGAGGACTTGTGATCCCCAAGACTGTATTTTAGGGAAGGGGAAATAATTAATGTCATGTATTCCACTGGATGAGATGGTTTTGGGGGGAGGAATATATTTCTTTATCCATATTCTTCGAGCTGTGAATTAGTTGGTCCCAGCAGGGACAGAATCCCCTACATCTAATCATGTAATACATCCTCTTAGGGGCATGATTACTAAGTAGCATTTTTGGATGAACTTTTTTCATTTTTCCTGTGAACTATAGCTTTCTTAGGAAACATAATTTTTCCAGAATAAGAGTGATAGAATCAGACATTAAGGTAATGCTATAAAGCAGCTATTTATCAGCAATTATTGAAGACACAGCACATGATATATTCTGCCAGATATTTTCATACATTTCTTACAGTCCACCGATCCTACAGCAAAAAATGTGTCAAACCCATTTTATAGATGAAGCACTTGAGGCCTGCAGCACTTGGGAACATCTCAGGATCCCTGTGCAGTAAATGATACACCCAGTACTAGACTCAGTGTGAGGTGATATTGTCTAATCTGTCTTTATTGCTAGCAATAAGAACACAGCTTTGCTTTTGAATTTATTTCTATTCTAGGGAAATAGAAACTATCTCCCAATGTGTAGAAAGACCCTGTGTCCAAGGCACTGATGCCTGGCCTGAATTAATGTAAAACTGAGCAGGTGATGTGGATGTGTGAACCTGCTCCCAGGGAACTGCGCACAATCACCTGTCCTCAGCCACATCATATACAAGGACCTGCCTGTCCATTTTCTCACCCTAGAAACTCTCCAATAGCAACAGCCTTTTTCTCATAAATGTTATCTTTGGACCATAATGTTTAGAGCCTAGGTTATGTGCCTGAGAAGCAAAATAGCATGCTATCAAATTTTCCCTACTGAGTGATAAGCAGTTTGATATGCAGCATAATCTAATCCTTGTCTTCACAGGTCACTTAGGATAGTTTCTGGGACCACATTCACGTCTTGTCGGAGTTCATTCGAATTAGTACTAGAAAAGGTCCACATAACACATTTGCGGGTGCATGAGGTCATGTAGGTGGTAAAAGCCACAGCCTCCTAACAAATTGTAGGTGAGGCAGGCCCATGCTGACCACAGTAGAGGGGAAAAGAACATCTGCTGTAGCTGAACTCCCCAGCCCATGAGGAGGAAGCAAATACTTCTTTAAAAAACACCTTCCATTTCCAGTCTCTGGTGTGTTTCTGCGCACAGGGAAGTCATGATTTTCAGTATGCCCAGGGGCACTAGTGCTGATATTCATACAAAGACCATCACGTGCACTGCAGAAGCGGCTCACAGCTTCCCAGAATGGTCATGAATTCAAGGGCAGGAGAAAATTTTCCTCTTGCTAAGATTGGAAGTCACTGTGCAGGGAAGTACAGCCAAGTGCTAATGGGTGAAGAACAAGTCCTCCTGATGTGAATGAGACCAATACTATATCAGAAACATCTCTGTTCCAGTAGATGATGCTTGAAAAAGTGGAAAATCTCCAGACGTATATCTGATTCTCAACAACTCCCAGAGGGAGGAGAATTTTATATTAAATCACATTTGATGTGCTTGGGTGAGCATCTTCTGTGTAACCACTTACAAAGACACTACCATTTCTCATCTGTTAGAGTCATTTCTGCAGGAGGGGCTGCACCACAACTGGATTAATCCTCACGTGCTCATCTCACAGCACGCAGACTTCTCTGTGTGCACACCTAGGAGTTTCAGCCATGCGTGTTTGCTCCCTATGATAGAAGCAAGCTGATTCTGTACCCTGAAGGTCTTAGGAAACAACTGCCCCACAGATGCTCACTACAGAGTTTATTTCATGTCACACACAGCCGTGGGGCATTTGAGGTGCATCTACCCATCCATGGCAGCTGTGATGTCCTCCCCAGTGTGAATGGCAGGTGTAGCCAAAATCACCCTGTGTTGACTGGAGGTTTTCTCCTCCTGCTGTTGTACCCCATTGACCAGCCCTTTCCTGGACCTGTTTGCAACCTGCCCAGTTCAGAGCATTATGCTCTCTGTGTCCTACTGCCACGCACTCAGCCTAACACAGGACCCGGTGCTGATGGGAACAGGCAAATACCACAGCCTGAGGATGCATGATAAAAATAATGTCCATACTCACATCTATGTGACTCCAGACGCCCTGAGGGGTTTGCATAACAGAAAAGCACCACGAGCACATTATTTTTCCATATGAGACTGATGGAGTCACATTTAAGAACTGAGGTGAAAGCAGCCACTGTACAACCCCTCAGCATGGACATGTGCCTGGATTTGAATGGACTCTGCTAAGAAGAAGACGAGTTCAAACTGCTAATTTCATACACAGTTCACAACTTTTAGGAACTGGTGCTCAAGGAATCTGGTTTACTCCTAAAACACTTCTCATGAGAAAGGACAGTGTACAAATACTGTGCCTTCTATTGCCGCTGGTGCCTACTCCCCAAAAGAAGACTCCTGCCATTCCAGGCCACCCTCAGTCCCGCTCAGCTCCTGTGCTGTTCTTCGCATGGATACTGCCCACTCAGGAGTGCATGCTTAGGGTCATCTCCCAGATTCCCAAATCTAAGGAACCCGTATATTTTTGTAAACAGGCAAAAGTTATTTATAGCTAACTCTGAATGGGTGGAAGGGCCTATTTGCTCCAAGTCGCCACCTCCATTTTTAAAATTGGGCCTGAGGCTTACATAGTTCAGATCAGAGGGGAGAGGAACCAGAGATGCCTGAAATGACCTTCTCACCTTGTCCAAGTGGGTAAGGGCCTTGCATGATTCAGAACAGATAGAACGGGAGGACAGAGATAGTGCAGATCTGTGCTCCTGCCTTATCCCTTCCAGCAGTCCTCAGCACATCCTCCTCTATGCCGGGTTCCAGTCTCCTGGAGCTGGTGACATCTGCACGTTCTGTCACTACTTTGGGGCTGAGGGAAGGAGTGGATATTCATTATGAATTCAACAGGACGAAGTTTGGATTGGTTGCTTACCTGTAAGAAGAAAACTAAAATTTATAATTTTCATTTTGCATTGCCAGTCGCAGTAGCTCATAGGGCAGTGTGACACAGACCTTCCTCCCTCAGTATTCCCTGCTCCTGGTCTGTAATCGGTTTTGAACCTATGAAGAGTGACCTTGCACACTTACATGAGAAACCAGGCAGGGGATCTCAAAGGCATATTCAAAGGGATCACCAGGATGTCTCTGTCTTCCTAGTATAGAAGAGCATCACTGCCTTCTTATGAAGAAGAGGGTCAGTGACCCCTGACATAAGAACTACTTCATGCAGATTACTGAAAAACAGTTTCTGGCTTACATTTTGCACATTAGGCAGAAAACAAGGACTGTTTTTCCCTGTATATGTGGTGTCTTCTACCAAGCTAGTTAGAGGTGGTATGCAGCATGGGCGTTGCAAGAGATCCTACCAG